AGGTGGGGGAGATAATACCTTATGATGGTTGGTTGGGACGTACATACATAGATGTCTCATGTTACCTTGGGCAAACCTAGCTTTGTATTTCACCTAGGTGCTTAAGTGAACTCCCCATCCCCGCATTATATTTTTTAATCAAGACCACCGCACACTGCAAGCAGTTGCTCTTTTATAAGCAGCTCTGATTTCGCCAAGCTTCACCTGGGGCTCTCATCTCCACAATGCCGGTGGGGACACAGGAACAAGAAGAATGCTCCAAAGTTCACCAGGAAAGAGACTCCTCTGTTTATTCCTGAATTAGTGACCGTTAGGATCAAAGTGGTAAAGGCAGCTGCCAAGCAAACAGCACAGAGACACTTGGACTGCAACATACTGTTTACAAACTTGTGTTTCTGACAAAGATACAGGACCCATCCCTGCAACCCTGATGTGGAGCCGCTCTGTTTCCCATATGGAGAGACGCATGAGCCAGTGGCCCAAGTACAGGACTGGGAGCAAGGAATGCTGAAGATCTCATTTCACGCCTGGCACCAAACTCTACACTCTAGCCTGGGGTGAATCATTTCTTCTCTGTTTCAACCCGTTTATTAAGTGGGGATAATGACACCTCCCTCCTCCCAGGAGGAGTCAGTATTTAGAAAGAGGGACTATAGGCCAAGGGTTCTTAGGATAAATTAGTTGGTGGCCTCAGAGTGCAGCCACCAAGTCTTGCTGGTGGCCGCTCTCTCACTTTTCCCTAAAATACTTTGTTTTCGGAAAAACAAATACATGTGCGCATATACGCGTCCAAATCATTGCAATTTATTTATTGCTAGCTAGTAAGTCTGTTGTGAAAAGTGATATCAACAAGCATACAAGTATCACTTTTCAAGCAGATTTACTCAGCCCCAGCAAACATGGGACAAATTAAGCCTTGGATGGCGTGTCGGGGAAGGCAGCAAGGGCCAGCGGGGGGAAGGGGGCCAGAACTCCTCAAACACTGTGCCCCAGATGTCTTCAGAGGGGGGCAGGGCCCAACTCCTGCATGCGGTGCCAGGAACCAACACCAAGGTGGGGCATCCAGGAGCAACAGGGAGGAGGGGCCGCTGCTTAGCCCCTCTCCCAATCACAGCCCAGGACACTGTGGCCACAAGAAAAGCCACTGGTGGCCGCATTTAAGAAACGCTGCTATAGGCTCACTCTGTCACTTTAAAAGAGGTCAGAGGAAGGACAAGAGCAGGCCAGAAGCTTTCTGGACATCTTATTCTTTAGAGGGTTTCATCTTTGTTGTTCAGAGCTTTAAGGTTTCCCCATAGCATTCCATTTTCCCTTTTTCACACAAGCCTCCTGAGTGCAATTCACAGCACTCCAGTTGCCAGGTGGGCTCATGGCACATCAAGTCTTCGGCTGCCCATCCTCTCCATGGGAGCAAATGTCACACTTCCAGATTATGGCAGGAGTAGGGTGCTTGGCTTATTACTAAACAGGATCAGTGCACTTATTTGGACATGCCAGGCTGAAATAAGGACCTTCCATGCTCTGTTAGCTTCACTGGAAAATGAAAGGACCAGGTTTAAAACCAAAAAGTTTCTTCACCCCATTGTTTTTATATGAACTATCTCAGAAAGCTAGAGGTCAGAAGGAAGATCTGATCAGCTGCACACTCACAGGCCCTTGGGATGGAAGATTAAAGAAAACACTGCATTTTTGGCCACAGGAACATGGTTTGGGCATCACACTCACTCCTTCCACCAGCTAGAATCACTTCACTCATTTACAGTAGTTGCATAGTCTCCCCGCACTCCTCTCTACATGGAGTAGAGTGCCAAACAACCACCTTCTCAAGTGATATCAGCACAAATGGAAGACTAGCCAGAAGTCTGCTCCCTCAGAGATAGGCAACTCCTCCTGCAAATCTAGGTAGTGAGTGCAAACTCAACGCAAGACCTAGTTACAGCTACTTCAGCTTTGGATAATGCAGACAGTATTTAGAAACACAGTTAAAGGCTCAGTCTTGAACATTTTGTATTCAATTAGAAGCTCTCAGCACTAATCCTTGAGAAGTTTTGCTCCCAGTTATGGAGATTTTTTTTCCATTTCATGGCAGATGTGGGCCTAGACCCAGGAAACAATTCCACATTACCTACAGTTAGACTGTAAGCTCTTTGGAGAAGGGACTGCATCTTCTGTTTGTACTAGGCACTATAAATAATTATTCCCTATTCATCAAATCAGAGAAGCTGGTTTTCCCCTAAGCAACCCACACCTGCCAACCAGCAAAGCCCGCTCAACTTAAAGCCCACAGTTAAGAAAAACACCAAACAAGAACAGGTGTCTTGTATTGCACACCCATGAAGTGGACAAACATTGGTTGTAAGAGAAAGACCATTTCCAGAGCCAAGGTCAATCCTAACCCCAATCTCTCTCTCCTTCAGAACACTGTCAGCTTTGTAACACACTTAAGTGTGCCATATTCCCCTCTAGTGACTGGTCCACATATGGCTTAAAAGCTTATTACTGCTGCTAGTTAGCAGCATTACTCTTTAAGGTCAAGGGGCAGATGCCTGTGCTTTGGGTGCTGAAGGTCACAGGTTCGAGCTTCCCTAATAACCTGCTCATTACACCCCTGGGGAGAAAGCAATAGCATATTAGCTAATCCCAACTATTATAACAAGGAATGGGAAGGAAGAAGGATGTCTAGGGTATTAATCTGATGTACCCACCCCAACCATCTGAAAAATCTTCAGTCTAATCCCAGTTCAAATGTTTTGTTCCAAATGAGCTAAGAACTTCCCTAATACAAAATACCCACCATGCAAAAATATACCTAGTGCTTATTGTTTTGTAAACTCACTCCCACACGCGTATGGGTCTGTGTTTTAGCAGCATAGGTAGTGGTTAGAATAAGCAGGGGGCAACTATTTGGACCTAGAGTTAGCAAATGAATTACTTACTTGCAAAACCTAAGCGTGGTTTTGCAATCTGATGGCTGAGTGTCCACAAACATCAGGAATAGGCTGCAGCTAAGAATAGTCACTTTAAAATAAAATGAGGTCAAAGAGAAATAAAGTTGTGTCAGTGAAAGTTATTCCAGGAAGGGGGCAGACATGGTTTCATGCTGGACAAAAAGGCATTCAGGAGTTCTTACGAAATATTTAAGATCCCAGAAATAGTCACATGGGAATAAACACACAGATATTAAAACAATAAAACCCTCAGTAGCAGCTAGGACTCCAGAGTCATAACATTTAGCAAAGGGTATGAACACAATACAGCAACTGCCAGGTTTCAGCGTGGTAGCCGTGTTAGTCTGGATCAGCAAAAACAATGAGGAGTCCTTATGATACAGCAACTGTTTATCTTGTCCTCCCACTTCTGAGGGGTCAACAAGACAAACTGGGCCTGATTCTGACACCCTTATTCAGGCTGAGTACTACCAAACACCATACGGAGTCCCACTGAAATCAACATAAAGACAGCAAAATCTGGCCCTAAACAAGCCATCTGTCTAGAAAAGACAGAGAATGGCAGGTTTTTCCAGTGCTGGTCAGTTACAGAGATTCAAGGGTGACATATCCATTTTAGATCTTGTAATATGCATCATCCAACCTTCATCCTGCTTTAGAAGTCTAGAGTCAGATCAAGTCCGATTTTTCAGATCTTAGCTCTAGGCAGCCAGATGTTACTACCTCATTTTAAATATACTGGTCACCAAGCCAACAAAGATCTTGCTTTACGACACTGTCACAAAGAGAGTGACTGAACGCTTCATTCATACTATTCTGCTCACTCACAGCAAGATGAGCGATTCTAAGCTTTGACTTATCATAGATATCTGTATTACGCAACAGCACAAGATGGTCCGTCTAGGTTGGCGTCAACATCTACAAGGACAGTTTATAAGGAATGTTTAACAATCCGGGTTGACTTTTATTCTGAACCTAAAGCTTAGACAGAGACCGATGGTTCCTCCTCATCTGTTCCACTTAATGATTCTGGACATGATCTAAGAGCAGTCTGGGGTTAGGATTTTCCATTATCATTTCACTGCACGTTTGTTTTCGCATATCCCCTATTGCCACATGCCACCTGGACACTTCTTGGAGAGAGATAGGAAGAATGGCTTGGCCTTCCTCACCCCCTTATGGGGCTCTTTACATTTATTAACAGATAGGAAGAAGCCAGGCTCCCAGGAGAGGAGGGTTACAGCACTGATCTGACAGTTTCATTCAAACAAGGCATAAGATGCAGGCTCCAGGGTGGGAGCAAGATCCGTTCCTTCATGGGTAACAAAAATGACAAATACCTCTTTAGTTCGTGGGGGGCAGGATTACCACCAACTGTCACACCCTGAGAATAAAGGAGGCTGATGCCTCATGTCCCTTCCAGGATATACATCACTGACTGATTCCCCATTATCCTTGAGGTGGGGGGTAAGGCTCATAGACTGTAAGGCCAGAATGGACCATCATGATCATCTAGTCCGACCTTCTGCATGTTGCAGGCCACAGACCCTCAGCCACCCAAGAGGCCCATAAACTCTGGCTGAGTTAATGAAATCCTCAAATCAGAGAGAGGCAGACCCCAGAGCTCCTCAGGGGTACACACCACTGAGTGATCCCCTCCTTTATTCAGGGGGCAGGGATCCCCTCCTTTATTCAGGGGGCAGGGGGCACCATGGTCTCTCCGGTGTACAAACCACAGACTGTTTCCCTAACCCCCCAATATTCTAGGGTGTTGGCCTGCCGGCGACACACACCACTGACTGATCCCCCACCCCATTATCCTGGGAGGGGCAGGACCCCCTAGCAGGCTCATTCAGGGATGCGCAAGATTAGCCGATTCCCATTTATTCTGGGTGGGGGAAAGTGGGGACACCCCGCCAGAGGTACAGATCACAGGCCGATTCCCCCTTTATGTCGGTGGGAGAACCCCACAGCCCCTGGGAGGGATACACCCTCCATGTGGAGGAGGCCTGCAGCCTAGGGAAGGGATCAGAGGGAGGGACCGACACCCACCTGGTCCGCAAAGTCCTCAGCCGTGCTCATTAGGTCATTCTGGCCCATGGTCTCGGCGGCCGGCCGGGAGGGAGGGTGGCTGGGTGCTGCCGAGTGGGATTCCTGCAGGCTGGGCGTCTGCCTGCTGCCTGGGCGCTCGCAGCCCTGCCTCTCCTGCCAGCGCCTGCACAGGAAGTGCCGCGAAAGCCGCTGCTCCCTCCTGCTTCTGCCACGTCGGCCAGCTCTTAAAGGGACAGCGCCAGGCGCAGGAGGCTCCCCGGCGAGGGAGGGAGTCGGCGGCCTGGGACTGACGGGAGATACCGGCCCGCCTAGCTCCAGCCTGTGCCTGACTCTTAAAGGGCCCTCAGCAGCCCTGTGACCGCGGCCCGGGGAAGGGAGGAGGAGCAGGGTCCCCCTGCCATCAGAGGTGGGCAACGCCGCGGTGGATTTGGGGTTGAGTTTTGGAGAAATCTTGTTTGCCAAACCAAAGCTGGGGGGGGGGGGCGGGGGTGGTTTGGATCCAGGGCCCATTTTATGGGAACCCAGGAAACACACGAAGTTCGAAGCCTGAGGGGGTGGATCTGCAAAACTGGTGGAGATTTTCAATATGCAAAATCCGCCCCTGTCCAGTCTGTCTGCATTTTGTTTGATGGTTTGTAGCTATTCCGTACTGCTTCTTGCCCTGCCCAGCGCAGCACCCCCGCCTGCGGTGTCTGAGCACTTCTTCCTTTTCTGCAACCCCCCAGCACGGCCGCAACCAGGGCCGGAAGAGCGGGGCAGCCAACCAGCGCACAAAACTGTGAGCGTGGAAAAATGGCCCAAAAATGGAAGGGGACGCAAATATACTTGCTTGCCTCAGGTGCTAAGATGCCTAATTACAGTGTTCAAGGTGGAGGGAGAGGGGAGGTTTTGTTTGGTTTTGGGAAAAGGTACTGGTTTTGAGCCCATCTCCTCTTGAAATGGAGGGGTAGTAGTTACAAAGTAGGATGGCAGACTATGAAACACTATGTTGCCAACTCTTGAGATTTTATTGTATGCCTTACAATATTTGGTGTTTTTTCTTAAATCCCCAGCTTCTGGAGGCATGCGATTAGGTGAGAATCACAGCTTTAATTAAAAACAAAAAACAAGTTTCTAGTCTCTCACGATTAGACAAAATCTTGAAAACATGACTTAAGATTACCCTGAAGACTCAAAAACCACAAGGCAATGAGAAAACTACCCAAAGCAGCTGGAGCCCGGGGCTCTTGCCCTTTCCCCAGGTGATTCTTTTCATCTCACTGTTTTGACATCTACCCTGAAGGTAACGTTGTTTAAAAGGGCATTCTGAAGATAATTTCCATCATTTAAACAATCTCTCCCCTCCCATGTTATTTATAAACATTTTTCTGAGGCTTGCTAAACCTTTTTTCCCCTTTACCAAAATATTTTCCTCTTATTTTGTAGGTGCATTAATAGTTGGGGTTTTGTTTTTTTTAATACCACATATTGAATACAAAGTACAAAACAAAGATTTGGAGAGGAAAAAAGTCTCCAGAGCAAACAGGATGAGTCAAGTACACACAACCAATAAGCACAAGCACAGAAACTCGTATAATGCTCTGAACGTGTAATAAAGTAAGAGTGCTCTAAAGTAAATTGTCATAATCTGTTTTGGTTATGGAGTGACTGTGGCACAAGTGCACACTTTAATTGAGTTCAAACCGACGTGAAGGGAGCAGTGCGAATAAGGAGACAGAGCACCCTGCTCCTTGAAAAGTTATAGTCCTTTGATATTCTTTGCAAGAGCTTATTCTGTTCAAATGAAAATTCTCCCTTCAGTAGAATCACAGTCTGTAGCAATGTATGACGGAGACCAGTAAAAGGACCTTGATCCTGCAAAGGCTTATGCACATGCTTGATTATACATATTGTGAGTAGTCCAACTGCAGTAACTTGGACTACTCGCGGCACACATAAAATGAAGCATGTGCAAAAGCGTGTGTAGCATCAGGGCCTCGGCGGCATAAAAATTCTTCTTTCTTGTCCCTGGATCTATTTTGCATTTGTTAACACTTTTAATGATAGCTGGAATCATAGTCCCAATTGAGAAGGTATCCATTGCATCATGATGCATTTCTTAAAATAGGCAGCTTTACACAATTTATACATTTTGGAGAGGATTAAATGGAATTTTTGGCTGCCCAAGGAATGCTTGACTGAGCAATCCCATAGCTATTCAGCGGGAGTAATTTAAAACATAGGTGCTGGACTTACAGGTGCTGGGGTTGCTGCCCCACCTCCTGGCTTAAAGTGGTTTCCATCATATGCAGGGTTTACAGTTTGGTTCAGTGGGGCTCTCCGCACCCCCCCATACAATTGTTCCAGCATCCCCGATTAAGAGGAAAGCAAAGTACATGACTCCAGAAATCTTCAACCACAAAGCACCCCAGGCAAGTATGAATGAAGGGCCCAATCCTTCAAACACTTATGCACGTGAATAACTTTACTGATATGAAGCGTGACTAGGAGCAATACTGGCAGGATTGGGGCCTACTTCTAGTCTGGAGCTTTGACATGAACATGGCATCATTGAGTTGCTTTTTGGCTGGAGCTGGGCTGCTCAGGAGCGATGACTGGGCACTGAGCTGCTACGTTTCGTTCCCCTTGAATTTTTTTAAATTAAAAATTATACATCAAAAACAAATCTTAAGTGTGTTACTAATGCTATTATAGCTGCTTAGCCAATACAAGGGGAACAGGAGAGGGGGCGGGGTGTGGGGCAAGGGGTGAAGGAGTGTGGGGGGCCCAGGGTTGGGTCCGGGCAGTGAGAGGCGGGACATGGGGGGAAGGGGCAGAGGGGTGTGGGGGGCCCAGGGGTGGGTGGTGAGAGGCGGGGGAAGGGGCAGAGGGCTGCGGGGGGCCCGGGGCGGGTGGTGAGAGGCAGGGCAGGGGGAGAAGGGGCAGAGGGGTGCGGGGGGCCCAGGGACAGGTGGTGAGAGGCGGGGCAGGGAGAGAAGGGGCAGAGGAGTGTGGGGGGCCCAGGGGCGGGTGGTGAGAGGCGGGGCAGGGGGGAAGGGGCAGTGGGGTGTGGGGGACCCAGGGGTGGGTGGTGAGAGGCGGGCCGGGGGGGAAGGGGCAGAGGGGTGTGGGAGGGCCCAGGGACGGGTGGTGAGAGGCGGGGCAGGGGGAGAAGGGGCAGATGGGTGCGGGGGGCCCAGGGACGGGTGGTGAGAGGCGGGGAAGGGGCAGAGAGGTGGGGGGGCCCAGGGGCGGGCGGTGAGAGGCGGGGCAGGGGGAAGAGGGACAGAGAGGGGGGGGGGGCCCAGGGGCGGGCGGTGAGAGGCGGGGCAGGGGGGGAAGGGGCAGAGAGGTGGGGGGGCCCAGGGGCGGGCGGTGAGAGGCGGGGAAGGGGCAGAGAGGTTGGGGGGGGCCCAGGGGCGGGCGGTGAGAGGCGGGGCAGGGAGAGAAGGGGCAGAGGAGTGTGGGGGGCCCAGGGGCGGGTGGTGAGAGGCGGGGGCGGGGGGAAGGGGCAGTGGGTGTGGGGGACCCAGGGGCGGGTGGTGAGAGGCGGGGCGGGGGGGAAGGGGCAGTGGAGTGTGGGGGACCCAGGGGCGGGTGGTGAGAGGCGGGCCGGGGGGAAGGGGCAGAGGGGTGTGGGAGGGCCCAGGGACGGGTGGTGAGAGGCGGGGCAGGGGGAGAAGGGGCAGGAGTGTGGGGGGCCCAGGGACGGGTGGTGAGAGGTGGGGCGGGGGGGAGGGGCAGTGGGGTGTGGGGGACCCAGGGGCAGGTGGTGAGAGGCAGGGCAGGGGGAGAAGGGGCAGATGGGTGCGGGGGGCCCAGGGGCGGGCGGTGAGAGGTGGGGTAGGGGGAGGAGGGGCAGATGGGTGCGGGGGGGGGCCCAGGGGCGGGCGGTGAGAGGTGGGGCAGGGGGAGGAGGGGCAGATGGGTGGGGGGGGCCCAGGGGCGGGCGCTGAGAGGCGGGGCAGGGGGAGAAGGGGCAGATGGGTGCGGGGGGCCCAGGGGCGGGCGGTGAGAGGTGGGGCAGGGGGAGAAGGGGCAGATGGGTGGGGGGGCCCAGGGGCGGGCGCTGAGAGGCGGGGCAGGGGGAGAAGGGGCAGATGGGTGCGGGGGGCCCAGGGGCGGGCGGTGAGAGGTGGGGTAGGGGGAGGAGGGGCAGATGGGTGCGGGGGGGCCCAGGGGCGGGCGCTGAGAGGCGGGGCGGGGGGGCAGGAAAAGGGGGAGCGAGGAGCAGGGCCCGGGGCCCCAGCTGGAGGCCGCGTGCGGGCTGGCGGAGGGGGAGGCCCCGCTGCACCCGCCCAGGTGGGAGCCGTTTCTGGTCCCCGTCTCCCGGGGCAGCGGGACCGGGCGGCAGCGATCTCGGCCGCGGCCCCAGCCATGGAGAGCTACACGGTGAGGGCCGGCGGCTGCCCCGCCCCTGGGCGCGCTGGGGGCCGGTCTCGGGCCGGAGGGGAGGGGTCCCGTCGCCCAATGGGCAGGGAGAGCCGGGGGGTGCCCATGGGGCAGAGGGCGCCGGGGGGTGCCCGTCGCCATGGAGCAGGGAGAGCCGGGGGTCCCGTCGCCCATGGGGCAGGGAGAGCCGGGGGGTGCCCATGGGGCAGGGAGAGCCGGGGGGTGCCCGTCGCCCATGGGGCAGGGAGAGCCGGGGCGTGCCCGTCGCCCGTGGGGCAGGGAGAGCCGGGGGGTGCCCATGGAGCAGGGAGAGCCGGGGGGTGCCCGTCGCCCATGGGGCAGGGAGAGCCGGAGGGTGCCCATGGAGCAGGGAGAGCCGGGGGGTGCCCGTCGCCCATGGAGCAGGGAGAGCCGGTGGGTGCCCGTCGCCCATGGGGCAGGGAGAGCCGGAGGGTGCCCATGGAGCAGGGAGAGCCGGGGGGTGCCCGTCGCCCATGGGGCAGGGAGAGAGGTGGGGTGCCCGTTGCCCATGGGGCAGAGGGCACTGAGGGTGCCTGTTGCCCTCGGAGGAGCAGGACCTGGAGGGTGCCTGTTGCCCAGGGGAGCTGGGGGTTGCACAGTGAGGCAGCTCTGAGGTGTTTTTGTGCCCAGGTTCCCCCCTGTTTATCAATGCCTGTTTCCCCCACGTAGGTGCTGGAGCAGCTGGAGCCCGGGGCTCTGGGCACAATGCTGGTGGTGGAGTTAAAAACGGTGAAAGAAGGTGCTGGGAGGAAATATGTGCTGAAGCAGGTGAGAACTTGGTTGCCATGACAGCGAGATGCAGCTCTCTAGTGCATCTCCCTAGGCCCATTCGCCTGAGAGCAACGTAGCCCAGCACACCAGCCGTCACAGACGCTGGGTCTGATTTGGTTTATACTTTGAATGATGACACTGTCTTGAACTGCAGTTCAAGCACCCAGCAGATCCAAGCACCCAGCAGTAGATGTTAGGGTTGCAGTGTATAGTTACTGATGATATTTACAAATTGGGTGTAAATCTCATTCTCCTGATGGGGTTACTTATGTGATGCTCAGTGTCATAAAGCTTGGCCACCTCTGTATTATATTCTCATCCATGTCTTTTGTTATATTGTTATCTTTGTCTTTTGTTTGTTTGGTACAGGTTGAATGCATTGATGAACAACAAGCAAATAATGCCCTGAAGGAGGTAGCGACGCAGTCTGTTTTTACTAGTCTCGTTCAGAAGGACCAGGGTCTTCTCTTAAATAGTAAAAAATCCTTTATCAGCAATAATTTGAAACTATAAATAGCCCTACCTGATTTGGGCCTTGACTTACCCATAAACTGAACTGTACTGTCCTCCCTCCTTGTGGGGTCCCAAAGCCTGGGCTCCAGCCTGAGCCTGAATCTACACAACTGCTTTATAGTCCAGCAGCCCAAGCCCCAGGGGCCTGAGTAGCTGACATGGGCCAGGCGTGGGTATTTTATTGTAGTGTAGATATACCCTAAGACTCCAACAACTCAGTTCAGCCTATGAATTCTTATTAACAATCCTTAGGCTTGAACAAAGAAGAGGAGGACTTGTGGCACCGTAGAGACTAACAAATTTATTAGAGCATAAGCTTTCGTGGGCTACAACCCACTTCATTGGATGCACAGAATGGAACATATAGTAAGAAGATCTTTCTCTATATATATACATACAGAGGAGGTGGACTTGAATGTTTGGGTTCAAGTGGCCGGCTGTTCTCAATGGATGGCCCTCACTTCAGAGCCTGTATTTGTTTACCTTTAGGGCACAGTGCAAAGCCCATCTGTTTGTTTGGTCATTAGGTGGAAGGATGGAGAGTGGTCTGTTGATAGTCCTGTTTACATTAATGACTCAATTTCTACATAGTACATGTTATTTTAATGTTGTGTTGATTTTTGTGTAGAATTTCTTGATGGGAATGTCTTCACTGGCCTTTTCCTTCTATGGTAACCTGTGTTGTGCATACTTCCTTCAGTATTTAATAAATAAGACATAATAATAAGTCAGCAATATTGCTAATATCATAATTACTGTTCCACCAGAACACAAATATTCACAACAGAATGTGTCTAGTGTCACTGCTGGTGTTCATTGCACCTAGCACCTGCTGTTCGCAATGAGTGGGAACGTTTAAAACCAATTGATATGTAGTTGTGGTCAGAAAGTAATTAAAATTGCCTATTCTATATCAGTCCCCTGTGTGTATTCAGAATTAGATCTGCTGACTTTACTGACCAAAGTTTGAGCCAAATTGTCTGTTGGTGTAGTTCTATTAAAGTAAAAGAAGTTATGCTAGCTGGGAATTTGGCCCTTTGTTTTTGTTTTTACTCCTTTTTACTCCAGTTAGCTCTGTAGTGCCATGAGCACAGCTTTGGGAGAGTGAGCTGAATTCTGTTCCAGCTCATACATCAACAACAGAATTTTTAAGCAAGTTCCAATTTTAGGATCTTTACCTTGAGACTTTACCTCGTGGCTAGGTTTAGAGAGGAGGACACTTTGTGCATTTTAGTTACACCTGCAATTCACAGTTGACTCAGCGTTACTGCAGATGATGGGTGTACGAGAAATAACTCACCTTGACTTTCAAATTCCAGTTTGCAAGGCTGGCTGTTAGGAAACAATCTTTTTACTTGTGAACTGATCCTTTGCGAGATGACAAATGTTGAACCCCACTATGCTATTTGTACAGAGTTATATTTAGAGTAGAGCTTCACTTAAGAACCATATTTCACTTCCCTTGGCACTCCTTCGATTGCAAATGTGAAATAGAACTGAAAAAGAACTGGACCTGGCTACTTTAACAGGGACATGGCATGCATGACAGTCAGATATCTGCCCTTTGTGTTCTGTGTTTTGAAGACATTTTCTTAATCCAGGAGAAAGAAGCATGTGGATTGTTGTAGCTCGCTCCGAGTAAACCCTTTGGGTTTCATTTGCTGTCTTTCCAACAGGCAATGGATCTGCTGAAACTTCAGCATTCAAACATCTGCATTTACAAAGAATTGTTTATCACCTGGGATAATAAGGTGAGAATGAAGTGCTGTCTGTTAGAGAGGAGTGCACAAACTGGCATGTCAAAGTTTCTGTAGCTAGGTAAGGGGACACTTAAGGTTTCTGGGCCTGTGACTGAGCCACCTTCTGTGAAGGCAGCTCTGAATTACGCTACCATTGGGGCAGCACAACACGGCTGTGTTGCAGCCCAGGATCTGTATGCAGTGTCTTTCCCTTTGCTTCCATACCCAACAGATATACAGTTTTTAAGCTGCTGCAGTTCCTTGCATGTCTGAATAAAGCACCTTAAAAACTGGCCCATAAAGAAGCCAGGAGGCCAGAGCTATTTCTTTGTGGACACGATCTTGCACTCTACTTGGGTCTAAATCCCATTGAATTCAGTAGCATTTACTGTTTGCTCATATGTTTTCAAAGGTACTTGTTCCTGTTAGAAGCAGATGTTTTATGTTTTAAGTAGACAAAAGTAAATATTGACTTTTTTGTGGGAGACAAATAATCCCATCTCATACTTCCATGGTGTGCACCAAATCTATTTGCAAGGCCCAATGGCCCAGCTGCTAATTTGTATCTTTGTTGCTGCATATGTCATTATCTATAAGTGACTGAATAATGTTGACCTAATCTCTGTTGCAGATTTCATCTCTATTTCTTTGTCTGGTGATGCAGCACTCAAGCCAAGGAGACCTTTCATCTCTGATCAAGGCAAAAAGGAAGAAGCGAGAGAAAGTAGAAGATATGGTAAAAAATTACAGAAAAAGCATCTTATTGAAATGCAAAGGAATCTCACTGCCTTAACTTTTTTCACCACCTTCTGTCCTTTCCCAGCTGCTCCCCAGAGACATCAAAGTATAGTATTTATTGCTTAAAGCAGGAGACCAGGACTTAAAACTTCTGAATTCTCTTCCCAGCTCTGCCACTGAGTCATTATACAATCACAATAATAATACTTAGCACTTATATAATTTTGTACTCCCAGGCAACTTAGCCTTTCTGTGCCTTAGTTTACTCTTCTGAAAAATGGAGCTAATAATAATGCCTAATTCACAGGGGTGATGTTAATTGATCTGCAGGTTAATTGATCTGCAGAAAGTGAAAGGAGTATAGTATTCCCACTTGGACTGGAGCCTGTATCAAACTAAGCAGCCTTCGTGTTCTTAGACATGGCTTATTTCACCATGTAGTTATTCTTCATGTACTACATTTTCATGTATATTTCTGTCCATAGGTAATTCAGAAGTTCCTGGGGCAGATGGTGGATGCTTTGTTTTATATACACAAACAAAATGTTTTTCACAGGTAAATAGAAATTCCAGCCTCTTTGACTGCTCGACCTTTGCTGGTTTGCAGCTGAATTATTACTTCAGCGCAACTATTCACTTGAGAAGCAAGACATTGTACATTTTGATGGCAGGGTGGGGAGTTTCAGAGATAAGATGGAGTGTCAAAATGAGTTTACAGCAGAGAGAGATGATTAGTAGATCTACTGTATGAGTGTTAATCAGTGCTCTTCTCCTTCCTCCACCATTTTTCCCCCTCAGTGGTGTTTGACTTCAGAGACAGTAGTCTGAGTGTGAATTTATTGATTAAAGCAGGGGAGTGGAAGTTATACTCCTGGATTATATTTCTGCATCTGATTGTTGTGTGATTTTAGGCAAGTCATTTAATTCATATGTTCTCCCCGGATTTATCCATCCACAAAATGAGTATAACTTAACTCTTGAATGTTTACAAAGTGTTCACGATCCTATAGTTAATGAAGTACTGGAATATTGACTCTTCATTCACATTCATATTACAGTCTATAATCCTGCATAAAACTTGGCAAATGAGCTGTGCCTAAGAGAATGAACAAACTTAACAGGAATAAGAGAGGAAAAAAGACTAGTTCATGCTCAGTATTCAGATAAAGTTGAGGCTTCCAGTGTCAATTTTTAAAGCTTTTTGCCTTATTCACAGTAAAAAAGGAAAATAAATGTATTTTATTTCATTATCATTTGTAACTTAAAAACAAAGCCCATCTTCTTTGTGTAAAAGGTCTCAGAGATAAGGAGCCTGTAGCTATACAAGATTACGCTCTGATTTAACATGTTGATAAAAACCATTTCTCTGTATTGCAGAAACCTCAAACCGTCTAACATCCTTTTAACTGATGAAGTATCCTTCATGCTTTGCGATTTTGGTGTAGAAACTCTTATGACTGATGAAATGAAATGGAAGATAAGAGTGGAAGAAGGTAGCTATTTAATTTTAATATTTTAGTATTTTTTTTTAAAGAGATTCAATCTGTGTTTTTTAACAGTTTAATTCTATTACAAAATAAAGAAGGAAAACACCTTTTTTTGGCCTATTACATTTTATTTCTTCTAAGCAGCAAGCAAGATCATTGTAAAAGATCAAGAATTAAATAGATTGATTGTGATATGAAAACTTTCACACTTACTGTACATAATTGGTCTGAATCTTGCTCAGCAGTGATAAAAAATAATTGTTACCATCTGATGGCAGTTTTGTGGTACATTTAAAATGAGTTTGGAGGTTGTCTGTCCGGTTCCAAGTGGAAAGATGCTCACATCAAACAAACCACTGCACAGTTGGAAAAATAGATCTTTTAATATTTTGAGAGTCATGAGATGACTCTAAGCTAAACTGGATTTGTAAGACTATTTGTAATAATATATAGGAAGTTAGATCTTGGAGAATTGTCATTAATTGTAGTGCGGTTCTTCTTAGAATCTTCTATGGAATATCACCAGTAAAAATCTGACTCACTGTAGAATCTTTCTGACTGAATTGTACTTTGATGTGAAACTGCTATCTGCAGGTCACACCCATACAAGCAAAGCAAAACATTACACAGTGTCAAAACCATTACTGATCTGACATTTATTTCAACAGATCCTGACTCTAAATCCTGCATGTCCCCTGAAGCACTCTGCTTTTCCTTTAGTGAGAAGTCTGACATCTGGTCTTTAGGATGTATTCTACTAGACATGATGACCTGCTTCTTTCTGAATGTATGTACTATTGAGAGTGCCACAAACATTTCACTGGGAATATAATGTGTCAAAAAACCCCAAGAGATCCACAAAGTGAATACATACAGATTCTACCAATATTCTGCTGTTTACAGGTGAAAGAGACAAATTCATTACTGCGGAATATTAGAAAGGACACCAGTAGTCTTGAGAGAGTTCTGACATTAATGCAGAAAGGGAATAAAGATACTCAGCCTTTGTCTCCAATTTTACTTATGATGTTACAGATTCAGCCCAGTATGAGACCCTCAGCAAAGTGAGTTCTGGACATTTTCCCCTGCTCTGTTCTGTTTTTTGCTTTTCCCCCCCATCTGCTGTAAGAGGGAGTGTTCTTCAGTGTTTAGATTAGGGGACTGAGCCAGGGCTCCTAGGTTCTATCCCTGTCTCTGCAACTGGCTCGCTGTGCTATCTTGCTGTAAAAAAGTCACTTCACCTATCAGTGCTTTGGTTTCCCCATCTTTGAAATGAGTGTTCCAGTGTACACTGACCAGAGATTCTGTGATCAGAGAGGATAGTTGGTTTTGTTGGGGAATTATGTTATAAAACAATGTTATAAAAAGTTATAGACAATCTTTTGGATGCTGGGCTGTAGTCTGTATACAGTTTGCATTCTCAGAAAATATCCGCATTGCCTAAGGTTTTATTTTTATATGAGAATCTCAAAGCTCTTTACAAATATTAATTAATTAAGCCTCAGAGCACATCATGAGATTGGTTAGTGTTATGTCCACTTTCCAGGTACGTAAAATGAGGCACAAGGGTTAACTGACTTGCCCACAGTCACAAAATCAGTGAAAGAGTCAAGATCAGAATTAGTAGTCCTGACAACCAGAACCCTATTTTACTCACTAATTAACACTTCCACTTCCAACCAAACACACCAAAATCAACAGGAAAACTGTTGACTTTCTTTCTCTCTCCTTTTCTAGGGATCTGGTTGATATTCCACATGTTATGGAATGTTTGGCTCTTGCTGGTTCCTCTTTATCAAAACAGGAAAAAACCTTGCCTTCAGCAATTGTAGATGTGCTCCTTGAAGGGGGAATTGGAAGTGTTTTAGGTAATCAGGAAAATAAGTTGCCTTTGAGATACTGACATTTGTTTCCTATTGAAATGCTATGTGTGTTCCATTTAGGATGTATTATACTACAGAAATGAATGAGTGGATGGCTACCCATTGTACCTGAAATGAAATGCATCACTGTTTTGGACAAGAATCTCTGTGTCACCAGTCTTATAACTTCATAAGAGTAGTAGCTCTTATCTAATGTTCTGTCTGAATAGGGTGAGAGAGTGTTATTAAAAGAATTTTTGTCAGACTGTTCTGAAGTTCCTGGGAGCTCCCCACTCTGATTGCATTCTAGTTTACAGCAGTTAAACCTATTAAGATATTCCGTTAGAATGCATTATTGGCTAAAGAGAAAAAGCTGCTCCTTTAAAGCATTTTGTTTACTTATATATCTTTACATTTTATTATTAACATGATTTCATATTGGAGTGTTTTTAAAGAATATAAATTATATTTAAGCTACAAACTCTCAAAGAATTTTATGAGACAACAACATGATAAGGTTTGTGGTGGCTCCTAAATATATCCAGCAAGATAGATCTTATGCACATTTTCTTCTTAAAAAATCCAAACAAAATGTAACTTGTAGAGGGTTGCCATATTGAATAATAAATATTTCTAGTTTCTAAAGCTTAGCAGCTCCATAAACCTGCTAGAGCCGTAGTTTTTTCCCTCCTGAGATTTTCAGCATCACAGAGAAGACTGACTGAAGAAAATGTTACATATATATGAGATCAGATTCACAGTTGGTGGAATCAGCATAGGTCCATTGGCTTTAAAAATGGCCTCTACCAATTGACGTTATCTGGGGATCTGGCCCTTAGCTTGGGTTAAGGGTGGGGATGGAATTAGCTTTAGTTGTGAAAAATCTGCTCTGCACAAGATAAAAAGTGTGTGTAAAACCACTAAAGCCTTTTTAGTTCAGTCTACAATTCCCCCAAACAGGAAATGCCATGTGCGTAGGTGGGGAAAAAATCTGACTATTTTTTGTTCATATATCAACACACCTACTATTTTGAGTGAGATTTGCAATTTTAAAATGTTTTACACTTTCTTTCAGTTCCTTTGTTAACTGAGTCTCAAGCTGAATTTCTTTCAATTATGTGAATTCACAGGCTAGGCACAGAATAGGAAAACAATAACATTATGAACGTATCCTGTAAATATTTGTGTAAAATGACTTAGCAGAAACTTCTGATGTCTTGTTTTATGCAGAATTTATGGAGACTTACTGGGACATAGAGCAGGCTCAAGCAAAAGCCATAAAGCGCCTTGCCAGCTTACTAGATGAAAATGGTATGGATCAGTATTTCAGCATTTTGTTTTACTATGTTCTTGCTCACTGCTTTTACTCTGAAAATAGTGGGAAAACATATTGCATAATAGTACATTAGCCTGTTGGAAAACTGGGTTCAAATTCTGCCATTGGCTACAAGTGAAAATGAGGTTGATTGCTCCCAACTTATTTTCCACTAGTGCACATGTGGAAAAAACCCACAAACTGGAACAATTAGTGATCTCACTCTGTTTGGGAAAAGCTTGGTTTGAAATAGTTGGACAGGATTGGAGTGCACTGGCAGAGCTGTGTTTGGAGCAGGACCAAAGATGCTGTACGTCAGGGCTGGTGTGTGTGTTGTCAGACACCTGTGGGGTCCCAGGACTGTAATAACAGGAAGTGGTGCAGGTTGGCATTTTAGTGCTTTGGCAGAGCTGTGTGTTGGAAGGTTACATAGCTTCTCCCTTCATTATGCCTAGCTCTCTGCGGTGCTATTAGAATAATGCTTTTATGAACTCTAAATTCACTCTGTTAAACAAATTCCATTAATAGTACTCTTATTTCAAACTATTATCACTTTTAATACTGGCATTGACCTTTAATATTAAAAAATAGAGATGTTTAAGATCTGGGTAGATATTAATGTATAGTGATTTAATGCTCTAAGAATGTAAGCAATAAGGGGAAAGAACATGGTGTTTTCCTGTCATCTGCCAATATCTGTGAAGCATTTCAAGTGAAAAGTGACGTTTCCCATTGAAATAATGTGACTCAGTGATAAATAACAGTTTGAATTAGGCATGAATAGAACCTTGCTAGCAGTGATATAAGCAGAATTTGTTACAATAGATAATTACATCTCTGAGCAGGGCTGTCCCTAGGGGGGTGCAGGGTCCAGGTCATAGGCGCCAGTTTCTAATCTGCTGGAGGGGTGCTCCCCCACAGCTCCGCCCAGGCCATGCCCCCATTCCACCCCTTCCCCCAAGGCCCCGCCTCTTCCTGCTCTGCCTCTCCCGTGCCGAGTTCCTTCCCCTCCTCTGAGCGCGCTGCGCCCTTGCTCCTCTCCCTTCCCCTTGTGTGCCTCCTGATGCTGCAAAACATCTGATCCGCTGCAGGTGGTAGGCGCAAAGAGGGAGGGGGAGGGGCTGATCGGCAGGGCTCACCAGTGAGCAGCAGGCGCTGGGGGAAGGGGGAGGTTCTCATAGGGGGGCTCCTCCTTGCTCGCCTGCTGGCCTGCTTGCTGCTCGCCTCCTCACCCCGCCCGCCCGCATCACCCCCCTGCCCACCTCCTCCTGAAGAGCAGGGTCCCCCACAGTGCAGGGCCTGGGGCGGTCGCCCCGATTTGCTGTACCCAAGGGATGGCTCTGTCTCTGAGAATGCTTAGAATGGATTCCAAGAGGACATCTAAGTTCCCTTGGACAATTTTCCCTTTTACCACCGTGTTTTGTGGGTGTGTTGCTCCCCTTTGGAATAGCTAATGCTGCTCAAAGACTTGCTAGGACTGAGAAACCTAATGAAGTAATCTCCCCCCAGAGTCTGAAAAGCATACTCTCTCAGTACTGCCACACCAGAATACTAGCCCATATCACTTAGAACAGCGGCTCTCAACCTTTCCAGACTACTGTATCCCTTTCAGGAATCTGATTTGTCTTGTGTACCCCCAAGTTTCACCTCACTTAAAAACTACTTGCTTACACAATCAGGCGTAAAAATACGAAAGTGTCACAACACACTATTACTGAAACAGTGCTTACTTTCTCATTTTTACAATATAATTATAAAATCAATTGGAATCAAAATATTTTACTTACATTTCAGTGTATAGGATATAGAGTAGTATATAATTCTCTGTATGGAATTTTAGTTTGTAGTGACTTCGCTAGTGCCTTTTATGTAGCCGATTGTAAAACTAGGCAAATATCTTGATGAACTGATGTACCCCTTGGAAGACCTCTGCGTGCCCCCAGGGGTTTGTGTATTCCTGGTTGAGAACCACAGACTTAGAATGTAGCCAGCCAAGAACTGCAATACTATTTCCTAGGAAGAAGATGGCTACAACTAACTTGAATAAAATGGAAGATTGTGGCGGCTTTTTTTTTTAATACAGAGAAGGTGCCCACGAGACTACTGGTATCAGTGTGTAATGCTCCGTCTTGATATGCACAGCTTTTCTTTCAGATCAAGAACATTGTTTAACCATCTCTGCCTCACCATGTCATGCAACCTGTCCTAAAGCTAGGAACTCCATGTTGTATTGAAGGTGGGAAGCATATAAACCAGCTATGTTGTTCATAGTGTTATTAAATGTTGACTTTAACAATTCTTTTCTTCATAGCTTTTATGTATTTGCTAGAACTTCTGGATCCTGTCACTTGTGCAATGAGGACTCATATAGATTCTCTAGAGCTACAGTTAGGTGGCTGCAGATTACTGCTTGACATTATTGGCCAAGGTACAGTAATGAGGTTCCGTACTAAACACTGAGTAACTTGTTACATGTAGTAAACAAGATTTGAAATAGATTTGGTGACGATTAATATTCATACTAAGATACTAAGGGGTAAATTTATAGTTACATGGGAATTTAGCCACCTTTAATGGGAGTCCAGATTCTCTAGCGTGGGTGGTTTAATTTAAGTCAGAGTGATGTAAATCAGCAAGCAAGAAACCTTGATTTAATCTTGTTTTGCATTTGTATTTTTAGTAGTTTTTGTAAAGGAAGGATGATTCTCATTAGCTGGTATCATTAAAACTTCTTTATTTGCAACTAAATACAGCCTTTCTATTAAATTTGGTATTTCCGTTTGCTCACCAGGAGGATACCCTATATCTATACATATTTATTTAAACAGACATTTATTCAGATTCTTGCTTTTTATTTTTTTATGATAGAAAATAATGAATGATACATTTCTCATTTATTAGATTATTTTGTTTACTCATTATATGTGTCAAGCTGCATTTGGATGGAAATTAGAATGCAGTTAAAATGAACAAAAACAGCATTTTAAATTTGTTTTTTATTAGTTAAATAAAACTACGTTAACGGTGCTGCATATGTAAGAAAAAAAGAAAGTTTCTCAAAACATGTTTTGCATTTAAAACTAACTGATTTATTAAATAGAGGAAGTATTAGCTGTAGCTAGTGAATTGATGGAGTGTTTTTGATCACCACGGGCTAGATTTTGAAATCCCTGTGAATTAGGCACCTAACCTGTTCAGGCACTTTTGGAAAACCCACAAGGTGCCTATCTGCACTTCTGTGTGCCTAAAGGCCTTTGAAAATCTGGCCCTACGTCCTTCAAGTTTTTAGAATTAGTAGATCTCATCCTCTCCCACCTGTTGGAAGAGGAAATGAGATTTCTTGCTTTTTCATCTCCCAGTTGGTCTCAATTTTAAATGAACTAGTCCAAATGCAGAAAATATTCCCCTGGCACCTGCTTGGTAAACTGAAACCACCATTTGGAAAAATGTAAATACCAGCATTTGCAGCAGTGTAAAGACTGCAAATAATAGAGATTCTTAATGCAGCACATGACATTGTAACATATTTATAAAGCTTGTGTTGAGACCACAAAAGTTAAAGCCCCCCCCAATTCTGTATATAATTAAAAAAGCAGCACCCCTTTAACTTGTTTACATTTGAGGAGGCCTTATTGATGAAGCAAATTACTTTTTATTTATTTTAATAAATGTTGACTTTTAAAGAACGAAAGCTTTTGTAAAAAATTTTTCCCAAGTCCTGCATGCAGATTTTTACTAAAGTTTATAAACAAGTGATGTGGTTCAGTGCTATGGTTAAATTCTCAGAATATGCTTGCAAAACATGCTACTGAATGGGCAAAATGGGTAATTGCTCATGTTCGCAGTTTGCAATCTGTTAATGATCAGTTTCCAATTGTGCTTTCTGCATATGATTTAGGGGCATATTTTTGACAATATAGCCCTGGTATCTAACAAAATTTCTGTATAAGATGCAGTATGATTAACTCCAGGAGCAACCCATAGGTTTAAAGTTGCCTCTGAATAAAAACAAATGTTCTGTGCAAAAATAATGTAATTAACTAGACTGTATCTCCTTTTCGTTCTTCTTTTACCTGTCTTCATTTTTGTGAAATAATTTCCCACAGGAACATGAAAATTGCAGAAAATGAGACAAAAGGAGCAGCTTGATTTCAGGAAGAGAGGGGGAAATATAACAGTATAGTCTATGCTAAGTCAACAAGTGATGCTTGCTTCATGGTATACCTATGCTGAGAGCAGAAAGATCAGACTTTAATGAAAGCTGCTGAAGCCTCCTCATGCTGTTCCATGTTTTGCTTTTGACAGCCCTACAACAGAATGTGGAGGTGGAGATGCTAGTTGGTGAGGAAGGAATCAATTCTCTGTTAAAGACAATGAGGACATATTCTGAAAATGAAGAACTGCTCTCAATGATCTGCACTTTACTAATGATGATTTCAGCCAGTGGTGGGTCCTCTGATCCTTTCATATGGACATATTCTTGTTGTTTATCCATCTTTATCTGTTGGATTAGATACATAATGGAGAACTCCGTGACTTAGCCTAGCTATGTTGCTGTACATAGCGTATTTTTCCATCTCGAAAGCATTAGTCAGCCAGTTCTATTTGCAAGTCAGCTGGGAGCATAAGGTACATTATATTCGGACTAAGTGGTTTGAGACTGGATGTATTAAAGAGGTGGTGCGCTCAGGCTTGGTTGGCTAACAAGTGATTCTTATTACTTTACACAGATAGTAACACTGGGGAAAGCTAGGGCATGAAACCTGGGTTCCATTGCTGCCCCACCAGCACCTAAGATTAAGTTAGGGGTATTTTTAGTAAAAGTCACAGTCAGGTCACTGGCCGTGACTTTTTGGTTATTGCCTGTGACCTGTCCGAGACTTTTACTAAAAATACCCATGACTAAATCATAGCCTTAATTATGATGGTATTCGGTTGATTTTTGTGAAGGTTTAGGGGAAGGATTCATCAATGCAAAAGGAACATGTCCAAAAAAGATTTGAAACTGACCAAAAATATTTTACATTATTGTATGCAGTGTAGTCGTAGCTGTGTTGGTCCGAGGAAATTAGAGAGACAAGGTAGCTGAGATAATATTTATTGGACCAACTTCTGTCGGTGAGAGAGACAAGCTTTCGAGCCACGTGGAGCTCTTCTTCAGATCAGAGAAGAGGCCTGAGAGACCCAAAGAAGAGTAATGTGTGGTTCAAAAGCTTGTCTCTCTCACCAACAGAAGTTGGTCCAATAAAAGATATTACTTCACCTCACTTGTCTCAAAAATATTTTAAGTATTTTATTTCAACTTATAAAAAATATAAAAAGGCAGCTATCTAAGATTCTTGGCACCTTTGACCTAAATTACCTAAGTTATGGTTCAAAATGAATTCTTAACTCTGGAGTTGACTAGGTTGGTTGGATTGCTAGACTGACTTGAATGGCAGTGATTGGTGCCCTCTCAATAACTCTTTTTTTTTTTTTCTTCCATGAAGCTCAAAACTATAATGGGAAGAGAAGCTCAAATTGAAAAGGTTCTGGAAAGGCCAGTCACCACAAGTATAGTCTGTGTGCATGTGGTTCTCATTAAGAATCCAGTACATTTCTTTTGCTCATTTTCATATTGCCCTTTATCATATTATGTTACTCCCTTGTTTCATGACTCCTTCTGATTTAAATTTGTTGTTAGTGGTGGCAGTGGCAATATAATTATAATATGTCCTTTTCTGTGCTTATTAGAAATGGCTGCAGAAGCCCTGAGGAAAGCTGGGGTCATCACAGATGTTCTATCAATTATAAGCAATTTTCCTCAGAACAGACAGATCTGCCTCTCTTGCTCCGGTATTCTTTGGAGCTTGGCTGTGAATGGTAAGTAGAACACAGCAGATACTCAAAAAGAAAAGGAGTACTTGTGGCACCTTAGAGACTAACCAATTTATTTGAGCATGAGCTTTCGTGAGCTACAGCTCATTTCATCGGATGCATACCGTGGAAACTGCAGCAAACTTTATATACACACAGAGAATATGAAACAATACCTCCTCCCACCCCACTGTCCTGCTGGTAATAGCTTATCTAAAGTGATCATCAGGTTGGGCCATTTCCAGCACAAATCCAGGTTTTCTCACCCTCCACCCCCCCACACAAATTCACTCTCCTGCTGGTGATAGCCCATCCAAAGTGACAACTCTGTGCAGGAAATGGCCCAACTTGATTATCATGCACATTGTGTAAAGACAGGTTTCAGAGTAACAGCCGTGTTAGTCTGTATTCGCAAAAAGAAAAGGAGGACTTGTGGCACCTTAGAGACTAACCAATTTATTTGAGCATGAGCTTTCGTGAGCTACAGCTCTGATGAAGCATCTGATGAAGTGAGCTGTAGCTCACGAAAGCTTATGCTCAAATAAATTGGTTAGTCTCTAAGGTGCCACAAGTCCTCCTTTTCTTATTGTGTAAAGAGTTGTCACTTTGGATGGGCTATCACCAGCAGGAGAGTGAATTTGTGTGGTGGGGTGGAGGGTGAGAAAACCTGGATTTGTGCTGGAAATGGCCCAACCTGATGATCACTTTAGATAAGCTATTACCAGCAGGACAGTGGGGTGGGAGGAGGTATTGTTTCATATTCTCTGTGTGTATATAAAGTCTGCTGCAGTTTCCACAGGATGCATCCGATGAAGTGAGTTGTAGCTCACGAAAGCTCATGCTCAATAAATTGGTTAGTCTCTAAGGTGCCACAAGTACTCCTTTTCTTTTTGCGAATACAGACTAACACGGCTGTTACTCTGAAACAGCAGATACTGTACTTAGCTGGGTTCAGAGATTCTTGTAGCTTGGGGATGAATCTTTTTACTGACTTCTCCCAACTTTGGGTACAGTGGGGTGTTAGAGAAAAGAATGTGGGTGAGAGCTTTGCTTGAATAGCATTAGGAGATGCATCGTTGAATGAGCTATGGGGCAACAGAGACTGAAGATCAGTGCAAACATCTCAATATCCCTAGTGGTGGTAAGGACCCAATTTATAAATGTTTCTGTGGAAGGCTGAGGTGCGTGCTGTTTATAAACATTCAGAAATGAAAAGTGGGTTATGTGGCTATGGGTTCCATCACATAATGTGGTGTGTTGTGATAGGAAGAGGAAATGGAGTATAATCAGCATATTGGATTGATTTAAGAAACAAGCCTAGCAAGTGCAGGTGAATTAGATGATACATTGGTAGAGAGGGGGAATTGTCTTTGAAATAAGTAGCTTTTTTAATAACCCCACAACACACCCTAGCTGCCTCAGGAAGAGATTTGTGTAAAAAACCTCCAGCCTTGCATTTCTATCCTACAGTCCTGTCAGAAACAGGATCAGGCTCACTCTTGAATAGAAACCCCCAAGGAACACCAGCAGTAGGCATTCCTTCTGAGTCAGTGCTGAATTGATGCCACAGCATTGCATTACGCTGCTGCTGGAAGATCCCCTTTTGCACTAGACCTAAATCTGAGGCCCTGACCACGGGTGGTGATTAGATTCCATGACGCTTCTTGAAAGAGCAGGGATGTGTTATTCTCATTGTCAAGGTCAAAAAAACAGAACAAATGTGCGCAATTGTATTCTGCAAGTATAATTTCCCACTGCAGGTTCAACTTGATATTTTTCTCTGTGTGATCTGTTAGGTATCATTCCTGAGTGCCATGTTCTACCCACAGATGGCTGCATTTTAGGTTTGGGTGAAACAATTCCTGTATATAGTCTGCATGTTAGATTAAGCTTGTAAAACTTTTGCAGATGAAAACAGCTGGAATCATGCAAGTGTCAAAGTCAGATTCAGGGCTCACATAATTTGTCAGACCACTCTGTTTATTAGCAAAGCGCTTTGCTAATGCACCCAGATGTGAGCCCCTCTCTGAGGTTCAAGATAACTTATTTATACAGCTAAGCCAAAGCCAATTTAACATAAGAGACAAAAGAAAGCAGAAACTGACTAATATACATACATATCTTATTTGCATACTAACGTTTACCAATCTCCTAGCTCAGTAGGAGCTCTAAGTTAATTAGTTTGAGGACCCATTGTCTCACACTCCTTAATGTTTCTCTTCCTGACAACTATATTTCAACAAACCCTTCAAGTAGCATTTCTTTAATGAATTATAATTTCAATATAATTCATTCTACTTTCACAATCCCTCCTTTTGGTCAAGCTATGCAATGACCAACAATGACTGGGTTCCACATATCAGTCGTTCTTTATCTCTTTGTTCATCAGTGATATTTAAAATCATCAAATTAGCACTCTGGTTTGGGGCAGCTATCTGTGTAGCATGCCTGACACAATTTTTTGGATACAACAGGAAAGTAACTGAAAACATACAAAAATTATTAGGATTCCAAACAGGAGAGTTAGGGCTCCCTGAAACAACCAGTTTCCTATGCCAGAGAAATTGAAAAGGTTACCTAGCCACTTCCATAAAGAACTTGGCTCTTCGTGGGGAAGATATGCGATTTGTTCTAAGTGGCTAGCACGATCTATTACCTCATTGGTGTTGTCTGGTATATACACACAGCAGTCTTTTCCAGTGAGAGCACAAGTCCCTCCTTTTGCTGCCAGCACTATGTCCAATGCCTGACGGTTTTGGAGGGCCATCTGTCGGATTGCCCCTGTTTCTTTGGCCAGGGCTCTTAAACTTTCTCCGGTTTCATTTGCCATTATTTCAACTACTGCTTGTAACCTTAGGAGCCGTTTTGCTTGGTGTATTACTCTCCCTAATGGTATTAAGGAACCACGAATGGCTGCTTCCCAGGTTAAGGGGCTTATGTTATTTACATACCATTGGGCATCTGTTAAGTCCCTTCTTTTTCGCCTGAAATTGCGGAGGCGTTCTCGAGGGAAGGTTCCTAGCACTCAGAATTGTGGGAAGAGTCGGGCGGGATAACAGGTTCCTGACCAATTAGCTGGTAGTGCGGTATAAGCTCTGGTCCCACACACCCAGTGATGGCCTATTAAGGCCAGGAAGGTTCGGTTGCACCCATTTGTCATATAGGTGTTTGCAAAGGAGGAGTAGTATCCCCCAAAGGGTACAGGGTAATTCTCCTTAGGAGGAGTAGTGTTATTTGCATGACATTGAAAGTTTGTATTATTTTCACTAAGGTTACTGTAGGGAGAACATGAGATTGATTTCTCTGTTTGATCCCAGGTTGAGAAAAAATTCATATCTCCATACCCGGCCCGCCACTTTTTAGTTTTGTTTGAATAATCCCATACACCATTGGCCACAATATGCTGAAGGCAACGGCTTTTCCCCAGATCCAGCCCTGTCCCATTACACACCCAACACCAATGACCATTTCCCTCCACCACACTTATCCATTTAGATATGTTTATTCCCACCGCTTCCCAAGTGTCATTGCTGTTCCATATTTTGTTAAACAGACGAGGCCCTCCAGTGAGGTCTGGGGACTTGAGTGGGATAGCCAGACACCAGTTTGAGAGTGGGCTGGGATGTGGCTGCGGACTCAGCAATTAGAAATATTAAGGGTCTGAGCTATCCACACCTGCTGCTGGATAAAAGAATTGTCATCGTGGTCTCCCCAGACCGTAAGATACCAGCAGCCGAGGAACAGGCAGAGGCGCATGTTGGAGGCAAGGCTTTTCTGGTTCTGACAACCTCAACTGAGGGAACTGCAGTCACGGTTTTACGCCTGCTAGGCTCACTACTGCCTTTTTTTTTTTTGTGTTTGTCGTCTGCTTCTGGCAACCCTTACGAGAGCGTAGATTGTAAGGTATTGCAGACTGTTCCTCTACGTCTTCTTCTGGAGTCAAAATTGACTCTGCGTTGTCCTGAGGTGGTGATTGGTTCTCTGGGGATGGCGCCTTCTTACACTGTGAAGCATGTATCCATGCTGCGATGCCAGATAGTTTAACAGCCGTCTGTGTAGTAAGCAGTACCTGATGAGGACCCTTCCACCGGGGCTCCAAGGCGTGCTTTCGATGATGGCACCGTACGTAGACCCAATCACCTGACTCAAGGTTGTGGCAAGCGTCGGAGGTGGGTTCCATGGGCCAGGCGACTCGAACCTGTGAATGGAAGTGACTTACAGCTTGCATTAGTCCCTTGCAATACTGAAGGAGCGCACTGTGAGTCAAGTTCAAATCTGGAACGGGAGTAATGGTAGTCATAGCTCGCATAGGGCGTCCCATAACAATTTCAAAGGGACTTAATTTATGCCTTTGGGATGGAGTGGATCTCATGTCCATAAGGGCTAATGGTAAGGCTACTGGCCAGCTTAGTCCTGTAGAGTCACAAATTTTAGCAAGCTTATTCTTAAGGACACCATTTTGTCTTTCAACTGCACCTGCGCCCTGTGGGTGGTAGGGACAGTGCAACAGGTGTTTGATGTGCAATATACGGTCCAGGTGTTGAACAAGTTGTCCAGTAAAATGTGTACCCCGATCACTGGACAGAGTAGCAGGAATTCCCTTGGCAGGCATAATATGATTTAACAAACATTTGGCAACAGACAATGAGTCAGCCTTGCGACAAGGAAAGGCTTCACTCCAACCGGAGAATAAACATACCATAACCCATATAAATTCATATTGTTGACACTTAGGCATTTGTGCAAGAACAGTGCTTGAGGCAGGCCCCAGAACCCCTGGGCCGCTTTTACAGGTTTACCAATATTATGGCTTTGGCAAATGGTACAGGCTGCACAGTGGCGGGCTGCAAAAGAACTAAAATGGGGGGGCCACCATCCTGTCTTTGTTACAGCAGAGACCATCCCCTCCTTTCTGACGTGAAACACCATGTAGCAGGGCGGCCAGAGATGGGCAGAGTGAAAAGGGGGCTACAAAGGCGCCAGTAGGCGAGCGCCAAAAGGAATCAGGATGTAGAGAGCAACCTTGGGCAACCCAGGATTCTCTCTCGGTTTCTGGGGCAGAGTCTTGGAGCAGCGTGAGGTCAGTGAGGGACCAGGAGGGTAAGAGGAGAGCGGAGAACAAGGGAATCAGACATTTCGACTAGGCATGCTGCAGCAGCCACAGCACGAGGCAGGGGGGTAAGCCTTGGGCAACAGGGTCTAAAGTGGCAGAGAAATAAGCCACTGGGTGGTTCTTTTCTCCGTGCATCTGAGTGAGAACTCCAAGTGCACACCCAGATTGTTCGTGGCAGAAAAGGGTAAAAGGCTTAGAATAGTCAGGCAGCCCTAAGGCAGGGGCAGAAGCCAAACCCTGTTTGAGGGAAACAAAGGCAGAATTGGCCTCAGGGGGCCATGGCATGGGGTCAGGCACAGAGAATCAAGTGAGTTCCTGGAGAGGTTTTGCAAGGGAAGCATATCGGGGAATCCATTGTCTGCAAAATCCAGCCATGCCGAAAAACTTCCGGACCTGGCGTGGGGAGCGAGGTCGGGGAAAGCTAAGGATAGCTTGGACGCGGGTGGGAGAAAGTGCACGGGAATCCTGGGAGAGGAGAAAGCCAAGGTATGTGACAGAAACTTGACAGAGTTGTAGTTTAGAGTGAGAAGCTTTGTGACCCTTATTTGCTAGGGCAGTAAGGAGCACTAAAGAGTCAGTTTCAGAGGCAGACAATGAAGGGGAACAGAGGAGTAGATCATCTACATATTGGACTAGTGTGGACCTGGACGGGAAAACAAGGTCAGCAAGGTCTCGAGCTAATGCTTGGGAAAAATATGACGGGCTTTCAGTATACCCCTGGGGCAGTGTGGTCCATGTGTACTGTTGCCCCTTGTAAGAATGGGCAAACAGGAACTGGAAGTCAGGGTGAACCGGGACAGAAAAGAAAGCAGAGCACAAATCAACAACAGTAAAATGAGTTGCATCTGGTGGGATAGAAGCCAGAATCTTTGAGAGAGGCAAGTTTTGATTCTGTCCACCTATCATTTGCCTCGTCCCACCACTGCATGAAACAATCAACCTCTCCTTTTGCCAATTTAGTTTTAGGTTGGCCGAGTTTGTCTTTTAAGACGTCTAGTCGGTCTTTGTCCCGAGATCCTAACAGTGGCCACTGAATTTTGGGATTCTCCTGAATTAGCCCTTTGCATTCCCATACACATCTTTCTCCCCCCCCCCCAAAGGTCAGCCTTTTGAAGCCATCCCCCACCTATGTCATGAGGGGGATGTTCATTAAAACACAACAATGCTAGCAACAAGACCAACACCACAGACAAACAACACAAAACATAGATCCATGGTATTCTGAGTTATTCTTCCGCTGGCGCCAGCTTGCTTGTAGAGTCTAAAAACAAAAGAAACAATTTCCACCCCCCTGGTGGGGCAGATTATTGCTTTATAATAATACCACTTTCTTTTACAAATTTCCTTGCTAATTGCAGGAAAAACAGAAGAATTACCTCCAGGCTGTACTTATTTTGTTCTATAGTCAGGCTAGTGAATTACCCCACTCACTGATCATTTATGAAATTCATGAGGTGGTGTACCTCAGTTTCCCCTCTTGTGTTTGCAATAGTTTCTCTTCTGTACCAAGCTTTAAGTTTATTCTCAGGTAATAGCTGAGACACAGCTTCAGATTTTAGCACTATATACACACAGAAAATTCTCTTTTGCCTAACATCCCTTGCACTGTGATTACTCTTTTACACAACTGTACCCCGATTACACTTCCATCTTGTACAACTAGACACAACCAGGAGCAGCCAAGTTAAGTTCCAATAAAAACCCCTTACATCCTTTAGTGATTTTGATTACATTACCCAATAGTCAGATAATTTTGATCAGATTCTCTCTCTGCCTGCTGCCTGCAGCAGTCCCTTATAGACCATTTCTGTGGGAAAAGGGCCCATTTTCCCTCAGAATAGCTGTAAAGGCTTCTGGGGACAGAAGCGTAGTGGTGGTAGTAGCCACTCTACCTAACCCCCTTAGCCTAGACCATTTTTCCAGAAATTTACAGGAGTCCGGACTCTTCCTAAAATACATAAACTGAGCCGGCATTCCTTTAGGGAACAGTCCCAACTTAGACGTCTGGTTACCCATACAGGAGGACTTTACACGCCAATCACACAAGAAGGAAAGTCGGGTTCGTCAGAGCCATGCCCGGTGCAACACACAAAAGGAGCCCACAGGCTACTGCCTCAATCGCCCTTGCTTTCACACCAAGGGTTTTACCCATGGTGCGGTGCGGCTGCGATTGTGCAGATTTCACTCACTCAGACCTGGGGACAGGAACCCTTTGGTCAGCCGATCCCCGGACGGAGACGGCGCCCAGGCTCAAACACACCACAGGGAGGACGGATAGACACAGAGACAAGACAGTCCTCAGTCCGGACAAAACACAGAAATAATTACCTGACCAGATTCCTGATGTCGGATCCCGGGATCCCTACCAGAACAGAGTGGGAACCAACAGGTTCGATGGCGTAGACTTCACTGTGGTCATGCACCCTTCCGTTCTGGTGGAGGACCGCTCGGGCCAAATGCCCAGGTGCCAGCTTGCCACGGCCATCCTAAGAACAGTCAGGAGTCACACAGCCCCAGAGAAGACGGTTGCCAACTCGGTGGAACCTCAAAATTGTCAAAGTCAGATTCAGGACTCACATAATTTGTCAGACCACTCTTTATCAGCAAAGAGCTTTGCTAATGCACCCAGATGTGAGCCCCTCTCTGAGGTTCAAGATAACTTATTTATACAGGTTTCTCAGAGGAACAGCCGTGTTAGTCTGTATTCGCAAAAAGAAAAGGAGTACTTGTGGCACCTTAGAGACTAACCAGCTAAGCCAAAGCCAATTTAAAATAAGAGACAAAAGAAAGCAGAAACAGACTAATATACATACATATCTTATTTGCATACTAACGTTTACCAATCTCCTAGCTCAGTAGGAGCTCTAAGTTAATTAGTTTGAGGACCCATTGTCTCACACTCCTTAATGTTTCTCTTCCTGACAACTATATTTCAACAAACCCTTCAAGTAGCATTTCTTTAATGAATTATAATTTCAATATAATTCATTCTACTTTTACACAAGATTATTTTACTAACATAAAGAAGAGCTGATGGAAGGAATCTAGAGCATGATCAAATAAGTAATCAATAGTGTGTTTTTATACAGAAAACATAACTTCTGTGATACCTTTGTGCAGTAAGATGATGTTTGCCTGCAGTTTAATCTGCTCACTGCGTTAATGTTTGAGTTAACAAACTCTGCTTGCTATATTGGCATTTGGCTTTTCTTCCTAATTCAGAAAGTAACATGGGACAAGCATCACTAAAAAATGCTGTCCAGATTATCACTGGAGTCCTCCAAGAACACCGTGAGAATGGAGAGGTGGTTGAGTCGGCTTGCTCTGCCCTCTGGGTTCTGACACTTCAGGGTGAGTTTTCATACTTGCTATGCCTTATGCACAGCAGGGGTTAGTCTGACCAAATCACGCACAGCAGTTATTTAAGTAGTAATTAAAATGAATGTTGAAGAAGTGAATCCTCTATAAGTTACCTTGGCGCAATACAACCTGCTGTACTTTAGCTGGCAACATAAGTTACCCTCCTAACTGAACCAGCACCCCCTAGTTCATCTCTTTCTGACAACCTCAGACGAAGTTTAATTTTGTAATAACTCTTAGCTAGGTTAAGTAAATACTGCTATCAGATACTACAGTGATGAGCACGGTTTAAGAACCTCTGTAGAATAGATTGTCACCTCTTAGTTGTCTTCTCTCACAACTAAAGAATCTCAGGTTTGTTACTCTCTTTCCAACGTAAAACCACCCAGTACAGTATTAGTGCTGTGAAGAGTATTACAAGGAAAGGTGTTTAACATGAATGTTGTCAGTGCCCTGGGAAGAACACAAGTTAAAAATAGAAGCATTATCTATGTATCACTATACCTGTACATTAAAAGGAACATCTTTGCAGCATGAGTCCGATACTAGTGCTCCTTCGGAATCACTTTATAGATGAAAACATCCTTGCAGCATTTTCATGCTACCCTTTCTCCATTTTCACCTCTACCATTCAATCCCCTTATTATGGCCACCATCTTTCTAGCCACTGCATTCTTTCCTCCCCAACCCCTACTAGTAGAGGATGTTGTTTTTGCAGCATTCCTACCCTCTGCTGATCTGGGGTGTAAAAGGGTGTAACCAGGAATTGAACCTGGAGCTTCACCTAGCAGATGGCTCATAACTGTCTCTGAGCCCCTGGACCAACTCACAATGCTCAGATATTCTATTAGTCTGTATTATAGTAAAATAGGCCTAACAGGACTTACGTTTTAGTTTTGGTGCATGGTAAAGGAATCCTTGTAGAAGCTTGAGGCAGAAGCTGAAAGCACTGATGGATATTTCACTGGTTATTTTTGCAGGCTGCTTAACTGAAAACCAGTATGAACCAACAACTCTGCTTCTGTTGGATGCTCTTAGGATGAACCCAGAAAGACCAGTGCTGGTGAAGAATACGTGCTTGGCATTGGCAAGCCTCCTAAGGATATCTGGTAACAGTCCAGAAAGGTGTTTTTAACAATGGCAAGTGGGCATCAGAGGCAAACAACACTGTAAAGACCAAAGGTTCCCAGTGGGGTTGGGAGGGGCATCTGCCCTCCTGTATCAGTCCTCTCCTTTTGTCGGAGAAAAACATTCAACCTGTCAGAGAAAAACATTCACACAAGAAAACTGGATTAACCCCTCCTGCCCAAGAACAGAAGCATGAATGTCAGAGGGAACTGGTGGATCAGCAGAGGGAGGGGGACCCTGTTGTAAGCTCTCTCAGTGTTTAAAATACTTCCTTGTGTTGAGGTTGTTCTAGTGTGTAAAACTGATACAGCTCAAGGACGGTTAATGAAAAATGAACAAAGGGTATGTGGGACATAAAGAGAAGTTTTGTCCTGCAGGAAAGTGTCAGCTGCTTGCACAGTCCTACACATTATCTGAAGGTGCTTCAGAATAGTCTTCCAAGGCAGGAAATCTGCCGCGGCCTAGTAGAACTTGTGTCCTTCTCTTTCAGAGTTATCTGCTTTCCGACTTATAGTAACAGATACAAAGGGCAGCGGAATAAGCCTGATCAAAGACTCCTATCACTTTCACTGTGATGATCCAGAAGTGGTGGAGAACATCTGTATGCTGATTAATGAGATGGTTCAGTATGGTAAGGTCTTGTTCTTTCGTGTCTTTGCAGTCCTTTTTGTTCAGACAATGCATAAAATCATAACAGCAACCAAGAATAATTCTACACTGTCAGTGAGCACAGTAACTGGAAATTACTGCTTGCAGTCCCCAGCAAGACTACAATACTGTACAATAAGGTATCGCTCAGCTTCTGTGGTATGAAACCTGAAATATGTTTTCAGATTCAGGTTAGGAGCTGTTATGAAACTAGTAATTGCACGTCTGCGGTTGCTTCTCCCCAGATCGTTCACCATGGAAGTGTAAATAGTAAAGCAGGAAAGGCAATACATTGCAGTTTGAATAAGAACATCTAGATCAGCATAGAGCCTTGTTTGTCTTATGAAAGACAGGAGAGAGGAAGGAAACAAAATTTCAGGTGTGGCCTGCCTCAGAAATAATGCACTGGGCTCATTTTTCTCCCACAAGAGTTAACATCTGACCCTTCCATTGAAACTGCTCTTGCCTACTAGTATTGCTTTGTGTGTGTGTACAGTTTTAACTAGACAGTAAGTTCCTCAGGGCAGAGACGTTCTCATGATGTGTTTAAACAGTACCCAGTGCAATGGGGCCCCAATCTTTGTCATAGCCTGTGCACTCTACTGCAGTGTGAGTAATTAATACACAGAGGTAGAGCTCCAGGCCTCTCAGTTTCTGTGCTTGCATATCAATTGTATTAACATGAATGCTCATTAGCAACTTATAGATGCTGAAGGAATTTTTCAATTGTCCCTTACTTGATTTACTTTAATTTCCATCTAACCTTATCCCACTCTTCCTCGTAGCAGTAATACTTTAATCATGCACCTGAGGTTACAATAAACTCAATGTTTGTTTCAAACTTCTTTAGGTCAGTCTTGTTTCCTAACATAAGGGCCTTTCCCTCCCCTAGCTCCTTTGGCCATTGTCAGGTGAGAGCTATGGAAGGTGAAATACTATTCCAAGCGTTATTACAGTAACTAAGATAGATTCCCCTGTTCCTTTTCATCAGATGACCTAGTGCTAGAGATGATCTCCCAGAACATGAAGGAGCTGCTGACTGAAATGAGAGTCAAGTTTACATCCAGTATGGTAGGTGGCGGTCACTGTGGTAACAAAGAGCATGCTCCGTCTATTTGTACAAATGGTTTTATTTCTTGGCTATGGCTTGCACAAACATCAACCATCTGGAGTAGTTTGTGGCATCCATCTTACCCAGAGGAAGATACAGTGCAGGAACTTGTGGGGGTAGGGGCTTCGTGTGGACTCAGTGTGCAGGGTATTTCGGAGGCATGGGGACTCAGAATATTTCTAAGTGTACTAAAAAAATAAGCAGGGGGAGCATAGTTTATCAAACTTCATGCTGAAAATCCTCTTAAATCGATTAAATATAAGTTTGACATTATTCCCACTTCATCCAGCATTAGCCTGCATATATTTTTTATTACATTTTTATACCAGAAATACAGGTTAAAGTATATAGGAACAAGACAGCTATATTACAAAGCAGAGAGGAATTTATTGATCTATTAAATAACCCTAAAAACCCAAGCCACTTAATTGTGTGGGCTTGCCCTCTCAGAGAATTATATTAAATTCATTAAACAGCAAAATAATTCCCACCTTTGTTTTTCCAACACTAGAGTGACCTACACTCTTAAACCACCAAGTTATTAACCTAGAGTACTTTGCCATCAAGCATGCAGCAGTTATTAAAAAAAAAAACCCAACCAAAACAGACAGTCAGAGCTTCCACCCTTACTCTTCTGTTAGTCATGAATTTAATTTGCTCACATTTCTCTTCCTCCAGAATGTTTGCCTCATAGGCCATAGTACAAAGTAATTACTTTCCACAATGTTTCTCTTGCTATCATTACCCTTTCCATTTCAAAACAAAACATTCCATATGTGAAATACCACTGAAAAAACAATAATGATTTTATTACAAACCCTAAGAGAGATCCTTCCCTCTCCCTTTTTCTCTTCCTCTAATCAAGGCTTTTTACATGCTAGATATTGCTCCGTGTACTTATATACATTGTGTAACATGACAATTATTGCTAAATATTTAGAGCAGATTCCTGATTACCTTTTAGCTTTTCTTTAGTTTTAGACAGTTTATGTAAATTTTATAGTCTTACGAGCCAATTCTGCAATCTTTGCTCACCATTGTAGTACAAAGGAATTACGGGTGAGAGTAAAGTTTCTGAATTCGGCCACACATTTGCTAAAAGTAAGTTATTGTAGACCCAAAAATGCAAATGAGATATACCGCCTGAACTCCTATAAAAGGACATTAAATACAGAATAGATTTTTGTACCATAGTTATTAATTGTATCTTTACACTGTAAAGTAAAAACCAGGATAAACTTGTATTTAACAGTTTTCACATTTCTCCCCAGGAGATAATTACCCTTGTGGATTCAGCACTTTTGAAACTGCAGAAGTAAGGTAAAAGTGAAGCTTTGAGTCCCATTTTGTGGGTATGTGTTAGCATACACTGTGTATGAAATTAGCGCTTTACTATTTGGCAAATTCAAAGCACCTTTTAGTTAAAGTAAGCATTTTATTTGTATTATCCCAGCTCTGTTTTGTTTAAAAAGAAGCAGTGGGATGCAGGGAACAAAATACCAGACTACACTCGGGCAGCACTTATGGCCCAGTTAATAAGGCATTTGCAGCGATACCAGCTATCAGCTGGTATCTGCCCCTGGGAAGTGACCCATACTTCAGGAACAACACGTTCTAATTTCTGCCTGAAGGACCATACTAGGGAAATAGTCTAAAGAGTTCCTATCCTTACTAACACTCATTTAGATCTATGAGAGTTACTAACTTTGGGAGCTTTGCTGGAAGTTGAACCAGCCCCCCGACCCCTCCACGATCAGGAGGCTACAAAGATGTCCATCAGCTGCCTTTGTCCTCGACCAAGAATGGCTCAGCCAAATGAGAGTATGAGCCTGGACCTGTCATAAACTTCCTGTCAGGGTGGTTAAGCACTGGAATAAACTGTCTAGGGAGGTCATGGAATCTCCATCATTGGAGATTTTTAAGAGCAGGTTAGACAAACACCTGTCAGGGATGGTCTAGATCAGTGCTACTCAAAGTGGTGGGGTCCGCGAGCCGTTGGCTGCCGGTCTGCGCGTACATTGGGGAAAAAAATTGCCGGTCCCCCACATAAGAGAGCTTGAGTAGCACTGGTCTAGAGAATACTTAGTACTGCCATGAGTGCAGGGGGCTGGACTAGATGACCTCTTGAGGTCCCTTCCAGTCCTATGAGTCTATAACAAAAGCTGTTCTATATATACAAGACTTGAAGTCTTCTGATTCAGGTAGAAATGCCTGATTCCTTCAGAAGTATTTTAAAAAGATTTTTCTCCCCAGAAGGAGATACTGCCTGTATTATACAGACATCATCTGCTTGAACATATTCCATTGTATTCTTTACAACAAACCGCTTTGACTACTGACTATGGAGAGTCTGACAGCAGTGTTATTTTGGGAACTTGCCTTACTTTGTGGATTTTTAAACTACATTTAATCTCTAACATACTCTCCTAAAAGATGAATAAAAATCATACTAAGGACTACAGTCTTGGAGTTAATGAGCTTTTGGTCCATGGATTATTCATTCGGAGCATAACAGCTTCTTCTCAGGATTAGCTCTACCTCAGCAGTTCATGAACAGACATATGATTCCTTGTAAAGAAATAGGAGTTTATTATGCATGTGTTTCACATGTCTGGGTGAATGAAACTTTTTACAAGACTCTCAGTAAAGTTTACTGCACTTTGACTGCTTTCTTCCCCTTGCAGTTGCAACATGTATATAGGTCCACTATCAGATTAGCTTAGGTGTTCTAGTCTATCTTTCACTTGCAATAGTCTCCTTTTCAACACGTACTCTTAGGTACTGCCAGTTTGTTCATAAAATCTTACGCTGCTCTGGGCAATCTGGCGTGCCACAGCTGCTCCTGTGTCAAACGGGATCATTCCCCTGTAATCGGAATAAATGCAGGAGCGGGGCAACAGGCTTCGCACACTTTGGTTCAATATTTCTAGCTGGTCACTTTCCAGTTTTTGGGACGCTACTAGTCTTTTGCTGTTAAATATCCTAATATTAACAGATGTGACATCAAAGGTATTTAGAGCCCAGTATCATCTCCTTCTTGTTATAAACCTAAATACATAGAGCTAGGAAGTGAGGCTCTAATTTATCTTCTCTTGCCAAAGCTGAGGGCACACAGTCTTTCAGCTGGGGCATCAACTTCTTTCATAGCACATGAAGTGTTTACAGAGCTCAGCTGGCTGAAAAATGTGGGTGCAACACTATCTACAGGAGGAGGGATGGAAAGCAGCAAAACATGCTGCCTCTAAGCAGCAGGATCCAGAGAGACAGAAGGTGTGTCAACACAAGACCAAGTGAGAAGAGATAATAACATACACTGTACTGGCAGAGAAAGGGAGCAGCATACAGAATATTTACCACACTAGTAACCTTTGCCCATGCTAGAAATGGTTGTAGAGGTTGTTAAAACTCTTGCCCTCTAGAGCAGGGGACTATTTATGCAGCATCCCCTTCCAAAAATAGCCATGAGCAAGGATACGAAGCAACTTCTTTTAAAGTACCCACGGTCAGTTTTTGATTGATTTTTCTCTGACTGATTCAAGGATAATACACTTGGCAAGAGGAGAAAGCCATCATACAACTTCATAGGAATCTAGTCACCATTGGAATCTGCACAGTAAATGCTGCACAGCAGAAAATGACAGGATTGAATCGTTGATGTTTTAGAATTTATTTTTCTACAGTTTAGGTTTGGCTTTGATAGCTGCTTCCCACTGCTTTTTCACTAGTGTGTATAATCTCATAGCTGCCTGCGCATCCTGAATCTGGAAAACAATGAAACAAGCAGCAGGTTAAAGAAAGAAAGCAGAAGTTACTGTAGGATCATTGTTAATGGTAGTCACATCCTCTCACCCATTTTACTCCCCAAATAAAAGTAAACCTTTTTAATTTCACTTGCTGTTTCTCTTGATACTGAAATCATGTAAGAGAACACTTAATGTAGGTGATGGGCAATTTCCATAGGGTTAGTGTTCATGAAAATAGGTGATTAACGCTATTGGTATGAAGCAGGTAAGGACGGTACAAGCTTTCCTCAGACTGGTATTGGACATTGATATGCTGAGTAAAGATTACCAAATCTCTTGGGTACAGAGATGACAATGAGGGTATACTTCTACTAGGGTTCCAGAGCCTGAAGCCCAAGGCACCGTTGATCCACCCATAAATACATTTCCCCCACGGGTTTACATACTGAACAGTGCTCCGATGTCTGCACTTTCACATTCAGCAGTTTCTCACAAAGCAGTTTCAGAGATGGACGTCCACTCTAGAGGCAAAAACAAGAGAATCACATGTTTGTTCTGCCAACAGCTAAATTGAATATCATCTACTCTGTTGCATGAAGGACACAATTACTCAAGCTAAATCCTGCAGTAATTTAAAAAAAAAATTTAGGATGGAAGGTTTTAGTTTAAGAATACCCATTAAACCACAGTGTGTCTAAGTTTCTACAAATGAATTGGTGAGACAGATGCCGTTTATCAGATCACTGAAGGATCTATTCAAACCTCCACTTTTGTAAATCCCTTCAGCATTGTAAGAATGACATACACAGTGATATCACTTACAGCAGCTCATCTGACTATAGCCTCATCAACCATGGCTTTTTAAAGCTTTTAGCGATAGGGAGAAAGGAAAAAATTAGGTGTCTTGTTTTGAAATTTAAAATATGACCTGTCACTTCAAAGGTAAACCTTTGGATCTTGCTTGACAGATATTTCCAGGCAGAAACGCGACTTTTATATTACTTATGAAGCTGCTCCTATTAACAATATCACAAAATAGAAGAACCCACCATTTTCTATATATAGATCAATATTGTCCTATTTGACTGCCCAGAAAGATGATAGAAAGACCCACTTCCCTGTTTTGGGTTTCAGGAAATGGGAAAGCCACTGAATTTGCTGTGCATGGTAATCTTGATTGGCAGTAAGTTCCTTAGTACTTTAGATATTCCAAACACTGTATAATAGGCTTAGCAGAATTCAATTAAAAAAAAATTTAACAATAAAAATCAATGTTTATTTTAAGCTTTTTAAAAATTTGTATAAATTTATATTTTCACAGTTGCAGGAAATTATGGCAGATCAGACAATTATTTAATAACCGTAGATGTTGAGATTCAAAAAAGTTAAAGCTTTATAACCATTAAAACACAAATTGTCAACATCACATGTCAAAATATACAAAGTAAATATCCTTAAATCAAACTCTAAAGTTCTTAAACAGCATTTTTCTTCCTTTGCTTATCTGTACATTTCAATTATTGATGGAAATATTTCTTCAGTTTGTCTGTACAGTGAAATCGAAGTTTACCGCTATTTACTGAAAAAAATCTATCCTTCCAAGTCTATGTCAAAATACATTAAACTAGCTAATCTTCATAAATGGCAGTGCGTCAGATACCCTCATTTTACATAAAGACAATTCAAGCAGAGAGGGGAAAGGGCTTGCCTAAGCTCGTACAAAGAATCAGTGGCAGAACAAGGACTGGAGATTGAATGTGCAGTGGGGAATCATTCCTCTAGATTAGTAGTTCTCAAACTTTTGTACAGGTGACCTCTTTCACATAGCAAGCTCCTGAGTGTGAAACCTCCCTTATAAATTAAAAATAAATACTGGAGGCAAAGCAGGGTTTGGGGTGGAGGCTGACAGCTTGCAACCCCCCATGTAATAACCTCGCGACCCCCTTAGGGGTCCCCTGCTCTAGATCTTGTTGCCTTGCACTAGCACTAAATGTTAGTGAATCAAGATACTATTTTCTGCAAGTTTCTTACTTTGACTTCCTTTCTGAAAGGTTTGTATCTTTGTGTGTCCCGAATTTTCTTTTTAGGATGATCAAGAAACAGGATCTGAAAGAAAAATATTTCCCCTGTAAAGAATGCAGTAGCAGGATACTTTATACAGCTGAGTGCACCACTCCCATCGATTCAAAGGACAGTTCACAACATGAACAAGTAAGACTGCCGGTGTTTGGACATCCTCAGTATCCAAGAATGAGAGCCCCAACCAATTTGCATAACGTGGCTCAGATGGGAGCCATCTTCGGGAGGTGCTGCCTGTGGAGCTTGTATGCCCCAGCACAGAATACTCCAATCTGATGCAAGTGGCCGTGTGTCTCTGTATTAATGAGGCCACGGGCCTCACCGTAGAACTTCATAGACTGTGCTTTGGCCTTCCCTGAATATGCAAATAACTTGATCAACGTGCTGATTCCTAGACTAGAAGGCAATGTTAAAACTACATAAAATGTGCCATGAGAGCTTTAATGTCCCTAAAGAGCAGATAAAAACAGACAATCCTAAGGTTTCATCTGAAAGACTCAGTCATTGTATAGTTGAATAATGCTGTACTTTAACCTACTCTGGAATTACAAAGACCAAATGGACCCAGCTACAATCTGAACCTATGGTTCCAGAGAGCGGAGGTGTTTTAACCTAATGCTTCAGCTAACATTCTGGGGTGACAAGTCAGTCACTGAAGACAATGGCTTCAAAGCAGTAAATATCTAACTACGTACCTTTAAGTCATTGTGGACAGCATGCCCAACTAAAATCCTTCCTCTTAAGATGTCAGCCACCTCCTTCTGAACACTTTTAAACTCTGCTCCTAAAAATTCAACACATTTTCAGTAAGAGACAAAACAAAGCACAAGTTGTGAGACAGCATTAGGAAGTGAAGTATTTTATGTGGTAGTCACTTCCTTGGGACCCAAGGTACTGGAGAATGCAGAATTCTTGTACACAGTAACCCCCAGCTTGCTCATAACTACAGACTTGAAGATGGCAGAACAGGCACACACATGAACAGAAGTAGCAATCAACTGAGAAACAGACTTCTACTTATTGGCCTAAGACCACCCTTGCATTTTTGTAGGCAATGGTTACAGAAGTTACACTCTACTGGGGCAATAATGATCACTCTGCAAGAAAGTGTCTCCACAGAATGTATTTTATTCATGATCTATTGTAGAGTTACCTTTCATTTAGATATTTTAGGGTGTGCTGAGATTGCGATTTTTATTTTTATTAATAGAACTAAACAGGCCCCAAAATAGCTTAGCACTAACTCAGTCAGGGATGTTTCTGTGGTGCTCAACTGGATCTCTCTCTCTTAAGGAATGTGCTAGGAAAGATCTCTTACCTTTCTTTATGTCCTTGGGCCGTATGCCGCTAACAGCTGTCCTGTAATCGGTCACTTTTTCTGTAGGCTTGACATATTTGTCATAAATACACTTTCCAAACTGGTTCACAATGGATACACGAGCCAGTATGCTGTCTTCACCCTGGGGCCCCACTCCCACCATCTCACAGTCCATGGCTACAGCTTTTGTCAGCCTAGAAGAGGATACCAGAGTTAGAAAGCCTTTGCTGTGATCATATACTTTTAACTTCTAGATGTACAAGTTAGCCACCAGTTAAAACAAATGGGGCACTTAACATCTCAGAGTAGTTTCAGTCTGTTTACAGACTCAGGAAGACATCAGTTTACGCTCTATTATGTTTGGAAGCCACAATGGTAAGAAAGAGAAAATATTTGACACTTCTATATATATATATACAGTATATAGAAATTTTACGTTAGAAATAAAACCTACCCCGCAAAAGCCTTTTCTTTAACCAGCACCTGTTCCACAGACAGCTCTGATTTGCCTTCTTCAATTCCCATATTTCTTCTAGCAACTTTTGCTGCTTCAGGTCCTATTGCTGCTTCAATATCCTCTGGATCTACACCATCAAACCAGATGTCAACCCTGCCAGGCAAAGACAAAATTACACTGTAACACTGTTAAAAAATGTACTGTCTAAAAGGCCGTTTTATCTTTGAAAGTTTGGCTAAGCCTGATGTTTATAAAAGCAAGGACTCAACTAATTAGTCTAAATCAGTGCCAACTAGTGCAACAGTCAGATGCTGTAGACCATGTAGTTTTACTCAAATATCAGAGGACTTGGGTTAGTCTGTCCCATATGGCTAGCCTGGAGAGCGTGGAATTATTTTTACTGTAATCTTATACTGTGTTCTTCAGGATACACGTTATAAGCTTAGAAGTATCTCTGTCTGAACTTTTTTCCAGCCACACACCCAATCTATTCCCCTGTCCATTCTGCCCCTTCAGGTACCAGTGATTCCTTAGTTCCCAGGTCTAAATCTGCTAGTCACCAGGTGCTCTTCCACCCGTCTTTTGCTCTCCTTCAGCATTTCAGTGGAGCTCTTTCAAGATTGCAGGTTTTCTTTTTTCATTCGTGTCCAGGGCCGAGATTTGTGGATTTCTTTTCCCTAAACCTTTTAATTTATAATAGCTTGGGATGTTTGTATGAAAAGGCACCTCCAAAACAGGGTTATGGTACAGAAATCTGTCCGTTCTGGTGGGAAGGGAAGAGAAACATCATATACTGTAATAGATGAGATGCAGGTTTCATTTTCAACCCATGTCTCTTATTCCCTGGGTGGCTAAAGTAGGAAGTGCTATTAAGGCAAAGCGCAAAATATCTTGCATTGCCAAAGAGCTGCCTCCTCTGGCCATTAAGCAATGGTCCTAACACCCTTCCAGGCAGTGGCCCCCAAACTTTCTACCTCATGCCCCCACCCCATGTCTGTGCCCCTGCCCCAGAGCTGGGGCTCTGGCTCCGGGAGGGGTGGGAATGCAGACAGGGGCAACAGGGCTGAGGCCACAGTTGAGCGCAGGGCAGGAGCAGAGCTGGGTGGCGTTCCCTCCCTGTTCCCCATGGGGGCTGGCCCGGGCTGCAGTTGTGGACCCCAATATGGTATGTGGGCGCCCCACAGTTTGAGAAGCTCTACTCTAAGGGGAACCATGTAGAGTCCATGAAGATAGCAGCAGTAACTTACAGCCTGTACAGTAGGGAAGAGGTGAAATTTTAAGGGGAGGTGGTATAAGGAACAAAGAAGTCCTCCTTTGACAAAAAGCACAGCGTTGCATCACTGTCTAATGTTAATCAACTGCAATTAGAATTGTTACAGCCACCTACATATGTAAACATTAGGCCTGAAATACTCACTCTGCTCGCGGCTGCTCTGTGTGCTCTTCAGCTTTCCTCCTCTTATGTTTTATGTCACCTTGTTCCTTCTCAATATTGCCATTTTTTCTTTTCTTGTGTTTCTTTCTGTTTCCCTTGCCATCACTCAAATTCTTGTCAGGTGCAGTTCTCTCCGATTTCGGGGTAGCCAAAGGAACACAAACTTTGGCAGGATCACTGTCCATCTTGTTCACAGATTTGAATTTTCCCGTATTCCCACCTCCATTTAGGGCTGGAATTCCTTTGACATTTCCCTTTTTGGTTGTGTGCTTCTTGGAATATGTTTGGGATACAGGAAGGGACTTATCCAAACTGGCAGCCTTTTGTTTCAGCAGCTAATGTGACCCAAAGAAACCCCACACAATTTACTGTAGCATTAAACTTTGAAGTTTCCCAACCCAACCCACCAACACCACATTTACTTTCTCGCTTGTGAATTTAGTACTCAATTTCCGTGCATTTCCAACCCTGGAGTTGGAAGTTCTACATATACCTACAATACAAGTACACATGTAGGCAACAGCAATGCAAGATTCCCCCATACTGAGCCCCACCATTTCAAGGGGTGAAAGAATAGTTCATTCTCCATGGTCCATTAAGTCATTGATCTCTCTGCTGAGATTAGTGAGAAATGGGCCAATAAATGCCAACAATTTTAGCGATGAGGACACCTATCTATTAAGAACTGAACAAGTTTTTCTTATACAATGAAAACTGCAGTTTTCAGTCAATTTCACAGTGAATCTTTAAGTCTCCTTACACACTCCTTTTCCTCAATCGTACCTACAATAGTTTAATACCGATAACCATACTATTATAATTCTCAAATCAGGCCAGAAGGAAAGAGGTTGTGAAATTTACTAGTTTCCTATGGACCAAGGGATACTTATTTCCACTTCTGGATAATTCCCTAATTTGACTACTGAACCCGCAAAGCATTTCTTGTTTCAAGAGTTCACAGCAAACTTTATTTGCATAAAACATGCTGTGACCTTAGCCAAAACACCCCCTGGACATGTCATGTCTTTATGTACAGTACCTAAGTCTGCACTTCAAAAGAAAGAGGATACACTGAACTAACACCTGTGGGGATCTCAAACACTTAATCCCCCTTGCAGATTTTCACTAGAACTTAACTGTTTATGGGTTACCCCACTGGGGCCTGGTACTAAACTCTTGGATGTCACTGACCTCTTGCAGAGTCTTCCAGTTAGAGGAGAACTCCTGAGGAACTTTTGGGGGCAGCACCCCCAGAACTTTGGTGTCCTTTTGTTTTTTCTTTCCCACCTGCTTGACTTTGTTTTTCCACAATATTTTTTTCTTGTTGTTCTTCCTGTGCTGTTGTTTTAGATTCTCAGGGTTAGCGGTGGGGATGCTTATTGAAGCTTTTGACTCTTTGGTCTTTATTTTAGCCATTCTGTCATCAGAAAACAATCACACTTTGAAAGCAACATCCATTTCTGTCAACAAGATGCATAAATCCTACGTTATAGGAATATATATCCATTCATTTATTTGCCACACCGGCTAATGCTTACAAAAGGTATTGGTGAGCTAAGCCTGGATGCAGACACTCTCTGGTTATCCACAGAAGAGACACAGCATGGGCTTCGCACTCAGCCTGCAGGGAAGCGTTTACAGAACTACACAGCAAGTGACAGTTTGCTTTGCATCCCCCTAGACAGCAAAACCTGGATAACCACCCTCTGGATTTCCAGTATGGTTGATGTGGGATCACTTCCCTGTGGTTTCCATACAGATAAGCCTTCTATTAAACTTCTCCCTCTCCCCCACCCCATAGCCAGGGCTTGCCAGCCCCTGAGGACCAGGCCAACCCCATCCACAGACCCCTGTCACCCCCCACCCCAAGGAGCGCCCATCCCCCGCCCGCGCAGAGCCGCCTGCCAGCGCAGGGGTGGGCGCGACCCACCCACCCACTCACCGCCTCACCGCCCGCTTGCGCTGCAGCGCCGGGAACCCGGCACACGTGCGCAGTCAGCGCCCCTCGGCTCCCAGCGCCGCCCGGAAACCGCTGCGAACGGCCGCCGGCGGGAAACACGCACCGCGCCGCCTCGGGCCCCCGCGGGACGGGGACACGGGGCTGCAGAGCGCACTGGGGAATGGTACTGGCGGTGTGGGGGTTGGGGGAATCACCGTTGGGGTGTGCCGGGGTTTGGGGACTGTTAATAGGGGTGCACTGGGGATGTGGGGATCGCCGTTGGGGTGCGCCGGGGTTTGGGGACTGTTAATGGGGGTGCACTGGGGATGCGGGGATCGCCGTTGGGGTGCGCCGGGGTCTGGGGACTGTTAATGGGGGTGCACTGGGGATGCGGGGATCGCCGTTGGGGTGCTCCGGGGTTTGGGGACTGTTAATGGGGGTGCACTGGGGGATGTGGGGATCGCCGTTGGGGTGCGCCGGGGTTTGGGGACTGTTAATGGGGGTGCACTGGGGGATGTGGGGATCGCCGTTGGGGTGCGCCGGGGTTTGGGGACTGTTAATGGGGGTGCACTGGGGATGTGGGGATCGCCGTTGGGGTGCGCCGGGGTTTGGGGACTGTTAATAGGGGTGCACTGGGGATGCGGGGATCGTCGTTGGGGTGGCGCCGGGGTCTGGGGACTGTTAATGGGGGTGCACTGGGGATGTGGGGATCGCCGTTGGGGTGCGCCGGGGTCTGGGGACTGTTAATGGGGGTGCACTGGGGGATGCGGGGATCGCCGTTGGGGTGCGCGGGGTTTGGGGACTGTTAATGGGGGTGATGGGGGATGTGGGGATCGCCGTTGGGGTGCGCCGGGGTTTGGGGACTGTTAATGGGGGTGACGGGGGATGTGGGGATCGCCGTTGGGGTGCGCCGGGGTCTGGGGACTGTTAATGGGGGTGCACTGGGGGATGCGGGGATCGCCGTTGGGGTGCGCCGGGGTTTGGGGACTGTTAATGGGGGTGCACTGGGGGATGCGGGGATCGCCGTTGGGGTGCG